AAGCGATGTCGGCAAGTGTACGGAAGTTGGGGTGACCCAAGCGATGGTGGTAGAGGATGGTTGGGTTGGCGAAGCTGCGACACGAACACGGAGTGGTGCTGGCAGCTTGCGCTTGGGAGAGGGCGGCGAGAGGTGCAGGTGAACGCAGCGTGTAGAGCTTGCTACTGTTGAGTGTGAAGCGTGCTAGGAGCTTGTTGGACTTAGGGTCGAAGAGGTCACAGTGATCCGAGTGTGCTGGGAAGATCGTGGTGATGCCTGCCCATTGGAGCTCGTGTTGGGCTACGAGATTGTGGCTTAGTGTGGGAACACACATGCCGGTGACACTGCCTGAAGGAAAAGCTGGGCACGGAATTGTGGAGGAGCCCTTGGCGTGTGTTGTGAAACTGGAGTCTGCTCCTAGTAGACGGATTGGTGTCTCGTATGGCTTGAAGGAGTGTTCTTCCTTGAGAACCGTGTGAGTGGCCCCACTGTCGAGGGTGAAATCTATTGTGGCTGAGGTGCTTTGTGAGCCGGGACACTGCGAAATTGTCTCATTAATCATGGCAGTGCCAGGGAACAACATGTGGAGGCGCACATCAGCAGTGGGAGCTACAGCAGCCTGCACGGATTCCTGCGCTTCGACTTGATTGACCTTGCGAGGAGCACGATTGACCATCCAGCTTGGCGGCTTCGAGGCGGTCCCATTGACGGCATACCAATCGTCATCCTTTTTCTTGAAGCAGGAGGCAAGGGCGTGGTTGGTGCCACCACACACCTGGCCGGCACGAGGGCCGCGCTTGATGACATAGGGACACGGGGGGAAGCGGTTGCGCTGGAATGGCGCCGAAGCGGCATAGGCTTGAGGCACGGGAGCGCGGATTGCATTGGCCTTGGCTTGAGCACTGTTGTCCTTTTCGGCAGAAAGGAGCGCGGATGAGACCTTGGCAAATGTGAGGTCTGCAGGAGCAAGGCCCAAGAGCATCTTGCGTGTGACTTCGTATGCCGGAGTGAGGCCGACTAGGAGAGCGGCTGCAGGGGCTTGCTCGGGGAAGACTATCCCCAACTGTTTGAGTTCACCATGAATGGACTGCACCTTGGTGACATAGTCCGCCATGCCTGGCGAGTCCTCGAGCCGCACTTGGAACATGCTGGGGATGAGTATAGCAACTCCCACTGCAGTCCTGTTCAGGAAGCGATCCTCGAGGTAGAGCCAAATGGCGTTGGCAGACGGGTAGTTGTGGTCGGTTTCGACGAGTTCGGGAGGAGTGGTGCCCATGAAGACACTAATGACCGCACCATCGGCCTTTTCCCAATTCTTGTACTTGAGCAGTGCAGCAGCATAAACTGCTTCGGCGGCGGCATTAGCTGGATCGGCGGACCTCTCGGGTTTAGGAGGCTCTTTGCCGTCACCGATGTTGAGAAGGACGTCGGTGAGCTCGAGCCCCTTCACCTCGCGACTGAGGAGGTGCTTGTCGACACCATAGCGCCAAGCCTTGTAGTTGGAGCATGTGCCGTCCGGCTCGAGACGAAGGAGCGGGATCGGGCTGGCGAGTGAAGTGGTTGAGTAAGCCATTGTCGATGTGCAGCGCGGCACTTCTGGAAATTGGTCGACGAGAATTGGTTAAAATTAGTCTGACGGCTTTATCAAAATGCCGCTAAGTAGGAAATGGCGTCGGCGAAAATTCGTTAAAACGCCGACTTGAAACTGAATCTGAGCCTATGTCTAACCCCGGACCCACACACCCCCCCACACACCCCCAAGCCCTGTCCCGCAGGTACACAGCTCCGCAACCAGCTCCGCAACCAGCTCCGCAACCAGCTCCGCAACCAGCTCCGCTTCGCTTCAACTTGTGTACCTGCTCATGCTTGACGCGAGACGTTCGTGGAGGCGATTTCGCGAAGGGAGTTCGCCTATTTTGGCGGGGTCTGAGGGGAAACTAGAGAACGAGTTTTAAGAGATGGTCGAAATAGAGATTCGACCAAGGAGAACCGAGGAGGAAATCGACGATGAAAAGCGTGAAAGCTTCAGAGATGAGAAATTCAACGAGGTTGAGCGCGAAGGCGGTCGACGATGAGAGGCGCGACTGCAGAGTGGAGCACGTCGAAATTCCGACGACTCGAAACGAATGTCGCGACGATGAAGTGCGCGTAGCGCGGGCACATTCAGATTAGGACCTTGATCCGCGTGTGCGGATAGGTCGCTCTGATACCATGTAAGAAATAGAGTTGAAATGATTGATTAGGTAAGGAGCCTTGGTAGCCGTGGAGATGCTGGTGGTCCTAGAGTCGATGTTGTGCCGCAGCAGCCGCAGTCCCCGCTGGTGTCAGCCCTTCGCCTGCTCGGCATTCCGTCCCCTCCTCTGCCGGTCTACGGCCCTGTGTTCCCTCCCCCGGACTCGTTCCCGGCTCGTCTCCCTCCTCGTTCCCCTCTTGTGTCTCCTCCTCTGTCTCCTGACCCAACTCCTCCGTTGCACGTGTGGTCTCGCCGTCCCTCCCATGCTCGCCCTGTCTCCCCTGTCTCGCGCTCCCACCCTATGTTGCTTCGTTCCCACGTGGTGCGTCCTCCCCTCTTGCCGTCGCCTTCTCCGTCCTCCCTTGTTGTTGCACCTCCCCCTCTGTCTGACTACCTTCGTGCCGCTCGTCCTCTTGTTCCTCGGGTCCTTGCCTTTCTCGTTACCGACGCAGCTGTTCCGGTTTCGCGCCTTGACGCTCTTGTCGCTGCGGTGGCTGACTTCGCCTCTACCCGCCACCTTGACTACGCCACCGCTCTGGTCTCTGACCCTGCCCGTCCTCCGTCTGTCGGGGGTGCTCCTGGACTTGGCAGTGACGTCCGGGAGGACCGCCAGTACGAGCTTGCTTTCCTGTCCGAGGCTGCTCCCCATCTCTGTTCCATGCTGCTAGTCCCTGGGGGTGACCCAGACGCTTTCAACATCCTGACCCCTCGCACTTACGCTGAGGCGGTCTCGGGACCTTGGGCCTCCCAGTGGATAGCTGCCATGGAGCAGGAGATGGCATCTTAGAGATCCACCGGCACCTACGTCGACGCAGTTCCCCCACCTGGGGTGAACATAGTCGATGGCCGCTGGCTCTTCAAGGTGAAGCGCCCTCCTGGAGAGCCGCATGTATTCAAGGCGCGGTACGTGGCCAGAGGCTTCAGTCAGCGTGAGTGGGTGGACTTCTTTTGAGACATTCGCTCCGACCCCGAAGATGAATACTCTTCGGGTGCTGCTACACGTAGCAGCTCAGCGTGACTACGAGCTTCACTCCCTCGACTTCTCCACTGCGTTTCTTCAGGGCAGTCTACACGAGCAGGTCTACCTGCGCCGCCCTCAGGGCTTCACTGGTACCTTCCCTCCTCGGACCCAGTCGATCCTTCGGTGCCCCGTCTATTGCCTGCGGCAGGCTCCCCATGAGTGGCACGACACGCTGCGTGCTACCCTTGCTGACCTGCAGTTCTTTCCGTCCTCAGCAGACCCCTCGCTCTTCGTTCGTGCTGGCCAGACTCCGTTCTACATCCTTGTTTACGTAGACGACCTGGTCTTCGCTACTGCAGACAGGGACGCACTGGCCTCGGTGAAGGCAGAGCTGCTGAAGAGACACACCTGCACAAACCTTGGAGAACTGCGCCACTACCTTGGCTTGCATATCTCCAGGGACAGAGCAGCGCGCACCATCACCTTGACTCAGTCACACTTGGTGCGCCAGGTCCTTCAGAAGTTCGGCCTTCAATTCTCCTCCGCACAGCCCACTCCTCTGCCTCTAGACCACAGGCTCTCCGCTCCAGTTCCTGAGGAGTCAGCAGAGCCTAGTGGTCCTTACGCAGAGCTGGTGGGTTGCCTCATGTACCTGATGACTTGCAGTCGCCCAGATCTCGGATACCCTCTCAGCATCTTGGCTCGCTTTGTGGCCACAGGCAGACATCGACCCCAGCATTGGTCTGCCGCTAAGAGGGTTTTGCGTTATCTTGCAAGTACATCGGGCATGGGGTTAGTGCTAGGAGGACGCAGGCCAGTGGACCTTACTGGACACACTGACGCTTCTTGGGCAGACGACGCTGAGACCCTCAGGTCCTCGCAGGGCTATTGCTCCAGCCTTGGTTCAGGTGCCGTCTCGTGGAGAGCTACCCGCTCCTCGTCTGTTGCCCAGTCCAGCTGTGAGGCCGAGATCTACACCGGTGCCATGGCGGCACAGGAGCTCCGCTGGCTGACCTTCTTGCTCACTGACTGTGGTGAGCGGCCTAGCTCTGCCCCGGTCCTGTACGCTGGCAATAGGGCCATGATCCTCCTGTGTCAGGAGCCTCGACTCGAGGGCAGAGCGAAGCACATTCAGCTGCAGTTCACTAGTCTATATTGCCCTGTATCTTCCTATTCTAGTCATGCTCTCTTTCTAAAATTCCGGGGCTCAATCTCAACCGTCCAAAATTTCGGGGTCGAACACTTAGCAGTTCACGAGGAAAAACACCCTCACGATTTTCCCGTGCGTTTCGTAAAACTGCACGCCCAGAGTTCTTACACATGCTGCTCTCTATGGCTGTGTTCTACAGGCATTTGACGTCGACGTCGACATTGAGGAAGCTCCTCAAGCGACTTCGAGAGCACCGGTTACCACTCAAACCAGGTGCACTTTCCAAACCTCGCTTGGAAGCAACGCGCCAAACTGTGGAAAGCGCGAGCGAAAGGAGAGAGGAGCCAAATTGAGGCTGATGTAACGCCACACGCAAGGTGAACTCCTCGATTTAGCGAACGTCAGCATTGCGTCACCTTTACCAGGGAGGGAAGCGAGGGGGGTGTTTCCCTGACATAGATGTCATCTGTACATGGACCTGTTCTGCAGGCATTTTGATGTAACTAGGTTCGGGTACCTAGTGCCAGGTTTGGACGAAATTTTGCGGGCTGACCCTCGATCCGAAGCAACAAATCAGGCTTTCGGAAGGTGCTCTGATGTAATCTGCACTTTCCTTTTCTGCCTGCAGAACGCAGCCTATATATAACCCAAAATCATACCACAAAACAGCACCTTCCGCCATCCGTATTTCCACCCCACAACCCTCCTGCCGGGAACCCTCCTCCGCTCTCCACTGCTCCTGACTTGCCGCCATGGCCGCTGCGCGCATCACCGCCGCCGCGTCGTTTCTGCTTTCTGCGTCCATCTCGCGAGGTTAGCTGCGCGCTCCTTAGCGCTCCTTAGCGCTCCTTAGCGCTCCTTAGCGCTCCTTAGCGCTCCTTTTCCTCTCGCTGCACGTCGATCGCGCCACATGTCGCGCCATCACGCGACGCGCTCCTGCTGCCATGCGCGCCATTCGCTCCCAGCCATTCCTGCTGGGGTTTCGAACCTCATTAACCCGCTCTTCGCCCTCCGCCCCAACGATGCGCCCCTTTTTGCGTTTCCTCCCCTTACCCGATCCCCCTTCCCCCCGCCACCAGCTGTCGCCGCTCCCCCCGCCTCCGCGCCACTGCGTTCCGCCTTTCTTCCGCGCCAACCTGTCTCCCTCCAACGAGCCTCTCCGCGGCTCCCCAACCGGGCGCACAGCGGACAGCCCGGAGGAGCGGGGCTCGGGGTGGCGGGGAAGAGGGGGAAAGGCGCGCGCGCAGAGACACAGCCGGAGAAGCCAGAGGGGAAGGTGAGCGCGGGGGAGAGGGGGAGGGGGATGGGGAGAGGGTGAGAGGGAGAAAAGGGGATGGGGGGAGGGGGAGTGTGGAAGAGGGGGATGGGAGAAGGGGGGAGGGGGTAGTGGAGAGGGGGAGAGGGAGAGGAGAGAGGGATGGAGAGAGGGGGGTATGGGGATAGGGAGAGGGGGAAACGGCGATTGGGAGAGTGGGGAGTGTGGAAGAGGGGGATGGGGAGAGGGGAGAGGGGAAGAGGGGGGTAGGGGGAGGGGTAGAAGAGGATGGGGAGTGTGGGAGAGGGGGATGGGGAGTAGGGAGAGAGGGGGAGAGGGGGATGGTTAGAGGGGGAATATGGATGGGGATTTGGGAAGAGGGGTGTGGGGAGAGGGTTATGGGGCGAAGGGGAGAGGGGGACGGGGAGAGGAAGAGAGGGGGATAAGGGGAGAGGGGGAGGGGGAGAGGGGAAGAGAGAGGGGATGGGGGGGAGGGGGGGAGGGGGAGAGGGGAAGAGAGAGGGGATGGGGGGGAGGGGGGGAGGGGGAGAGGGGAAGAGAGAGGGGATGGGGGAGAAGGGGGGAGGGGGAGAGGGGAAGAGAGAGGGGATGGGGGAGAAAGGGGGAGGGGGAGAGGGGAAGAGAGGGGAAGAGAGGGGAAGAGAGGGGAAGAGAGGGCGTTGAGTGTCGTGAAATAGAATGGGGCAGATAGGCAGCCGCCCCCCTTCCCCCTGTGCGCATGGTCTGCATTGTCTGTGGCGCATGCTGAGCCCATCCAGGCCGCATCTACTCCTTGGGAAAAGAGGGAAGTGGGGGGCGGGGCGCCACCCCCCTCGTTGTGCCATCCCCGCCTTTCTGCCGCTGCCCGTCTTGCAGCAAGTGCTATCGGGATGACGCCGTGCGCCACCTGCATGGGTGAAACGGCACTCTACTCGCGTGCTCTCATGCATCGCACCCCCTCGCTGCACATAAAACCATCACCCCTCTCTTTTTCCCACTCTTCCCTTCCTACTCTTCTCTCCCCTCCCCCTTTCCTCCCCCCCCAATGGTGTGTCCCCTGGCAGGCGCCCTTCGGCTACACGCGGCTGGACGTGATTCTCATCGGCGTCGGCATCACTGCCGCCGGCTTCGCCCTCAAGTACGGGCTCGAAGTGAGTGCCTTGGGGCTCGAGGTGAGTGCCTTGAGGCCAAGGTTCAAAAATATGGTTTTCGAAAAATATGTTCTGTATTATTCGACCGTTTTTTCCGGGGATTTTTGGGAAAACAAAAAAAAAAGAAACGCCGTTTTGTATTAGAGCATCTCGTCTTTCTTTTTTTCTTAAAAAAAAAAAAAAAAATGTTTTTGGTAGACAGCCTAATCGTCCGCCAGATCTGGGCCTTTCGTTGGGCCCAAATGCGAGATCCGCACATTTTGACGGGCGAAATGTCAGATCTGCTTATTTCGGCTGACGGAACGTCAGATCCATGCATGTTGTCCACCAAAAACGCAAGATCTGGCACATTTCGGTGGGCGAAATGCCAGATCCGCGCATTTCGTTGGTTTTTTTTGCACAGTTTTTGAAAAATTCGGCCGCATTTGTGAACCAACCTATTTTTGCACACTTGCCACCGTTTTTTTCGTATTAAACGGCCGTTTAATTCGATACCGTTTTATACGGGATTTTTTTGAAAAAAAAAAAAACGTATTTTTTAACCTTGCTTGGGGCTCGAGGTAAGTGCCTTGGGGCTCGAGGCGAGTGCCTTGGGGCTCGAGGTGAGTGCCTTGGGGCTCGAGGTGAGTGCGGGCTCGAGGTGAGTGCGGGCTCGAGGTGAGTGTGGGCTCGAGGTGGGTGTGGGCTCGAGGTGGGTGCGGGCTCGAGGTGGGTGCGGGCTCGAGGTGGGTGCGAGCTCGAGGTGGGTGCGGGCTCGAGGCGAGCGCGGGCTCGAGGCGAGTGTGGGCTCGAGATGAGTGCGAGCTCGAGGTGAGTGCGGGCTCGAGGTGAGTGCGGGCTGGAGGTGAGTGTGGGCTGGAGGTGAGTGCGGGCTGAAGGTGAGCTGAGCGACACCCTTACATGGAGCTGTCCCATGTTGGGTGGAGGTGAGCCCTTGAGGCGGCCCGCATTGCCGTCTCTGCTGAGACATCCACAGCAAGCCTCCACCGAGTATATTCGCCCACTCATCATGGTCTCGCCACGTTCGTTCCGACACTTCGGGGCCACGTGACACACGCGTGCAGATCTGCTGCTACCTGATACCTGTTTGATTCACTGGCATGCAGCGGCATTCAGTGGCATTCAGTGGCATTCAGTGGCACTCAGTGGCACTCAGTGGCACTCAGTGGCACTCAGTGGCATTCAGTGGCATTCAGTGGCATTCAGTGGCATTCAGTGGCATTCAGTGGCATTCAGTGGCATTCAGTGGCATTCAGTGGCATTCAGTGGCATTCAGTGGCATTCAGTGGCATTCAGTGGCATTCAGTGGCATTCAGTGGCATTCAGTGGCATTCAGTGGCATTCAGTGGCATTCAGTGGCATTCAGTGGCATTCAGTGGCATTCAGTGGCATTCAGTGGCATTCAGTGGCATTCAGTGGCATTCAGTGGCATTCAGTGGCATTCAGTGGCATTCAGTGCCATTCAGTGCCATTCAGTGGCATTCAGTGGCATTCAGTGGCATTCAGTGGCATTCAGTGGCATTCAGTGGCATTCAGTGGCATTCAGTGCCATTCAGTGCCATTCAGTGGCATTCAGTGGCATTCAGTGGCACTCGTGATTGTGGGCGGGCCCGAGCCAGACCTGTAAGCCAGAGGCCCGGACCTCGCGAGGCTGCTTCACATGGATTTACCTCTCCAGGGTGCGCACCACTCACTCCTGCCTGTGCCACTCTCACCGTGCCACTCCTTCCTTCTGTCTGCGGGCTTTGACTCGTTCTAGTGCCGCTGAATGATGCAGCTGTGCGTGATGTGCCATGGGGCTCTTTTCCTGGTTCTCGCACCGCTCACTCCCCTCCTTTCACCGCCAAACCCCCCCGCGTCCCCCCTCTCGCTCTCCCCACTGCCCTCCCTCAGTTTGCGGGGTTTGACTCGTTCCAGTCTGGCAGTGTGGTGCAGCTGGTGCTGGTGCTGGGGCTGTGCCTGGTGTGGGCGGCCAGCTACGTGTGGCGCGTGGGCAACAAGGAGATGACCTACGTGAAGCAGCTCAAGGACTATGAGGATGCTGTCATGAAGGTGAGAGGCATGGGGGTGAGAGGCATGGGGGTGAGAGGCATGGAGGTGAGAGGCATGGAGGTGAGAGGCATGAGGGTGAGAGGCATGAGGGTGAGAGGCATGAGGATGAGAGGCATGAGGATGAGAGGTATGAGGGTGTGAGGCATGAGATGAGAGGCATGGAGGTGAGAGGCATGGAGGTTAGAGGCATGAGGGTGAGAGGCATGAGGGTGAGAGGCATGAGGGTGAGAGGCATGAGGGTGAGAGGCATGAGGGTGAGGCTAAGTGGGCAAATTCGTTGGGGTCCCCCAGCGTTTTGCGTAAATTCGTAAGAGTAAATTCGCGTTTGCGAATTTACCTGAAATTCGCGAAACGCTGGGGGGAATTTTTCCGGGCAGCCCGGAAAAAAAATGTGAATTTCCCCACTCGATTCGCAACGACTTGGCGAAGCCATCCGTGGCCTTGCCAATTTGCGATTCTAACTTTTGAACCTCCAAACATGCTCCCAACCCCTCCCACTCTCCCAACCGCATCAAACCCCACTGCATCTAGATAACCCAACCCAACCCATCCACCACCCAACACAACTTACACAACCATATCACGCATCTCACACGCTACTCTACCAGACGTAGAGTAGATCTAGCTAATCACTCCGCGTCCTAGGTAGTAGATCTAGTAGCTTACCGCAGAGACATTAGCTTACCTCACGAGTATGATGTTGCTGTATGTTGCTGCAGGGCTGTTGTTGCGAAGGATCCCCCCAAAACTCTAGAACATGCTATGGCCATAAACCTTGAGAAGCAATATTTATTTTGTGCTAAAACTTTCTTGCTTAAAAAGAGTTGCCCTGAAACCCCCCACGCACCCCCTGCCTGGGAACTTTTTTTTGGGCCTACCCGGGCATTTTTTTTCTTCCCGGGCAGAACGAATTTCCCAACGAATTCAATACCGGTCCCTGTCGTTCGGGCGAATTTACGCCAGCGTAAATTCGTCAGCGAATTTACGCGAAACGCGAATTTCCCACTTAGGTGAGAGGCATGAGGGTGAGAGGCATGAGGGTGAGAAAATTGAGGGTGAGAGGCATGAGGGTGAGAGGCATGAGGGTGAGAGGCATGGAGGTGAGAGGCATGGAGGTGAGAGGCATGAGGGTGAGAGGCATGGAGGTGAGAGGCATGAGGGTGAGAGGCATGAGGGTGAGAGGCATGAGGGTGAATGAATTAGCTTAGAGGACAAGTAGGGAGCCAAGAGGCTCTATTGTACAAACAACGAGCAAGGAAGAGATGGAAGGGAATGTCACCCATAATGTGGACCAATGGGAGAGGTAGCTTGGAGGACAAGCAACCACCTAAGTGGAGAAATACGCGTCCAGCGTATTATACGCTAGCGTATATACGCTGTACGCTTCATTATGGGATTGGATACGCTAGGAAATACGCTCTGGCGGGCAGGTATAAAAACAACTCGGGCAGGGGTAAAAAAAACCTGTTTGGGGAGGGAAGAGGGGGGGTTCAGAGCACCAAATTCCCCCCACCAAATGTGGCATCATTTAGCATGGTAATAAATAAATAGTTCAAGCCACCAAGGGCATGTCAAGGGTTCCAAACTCCAACAACCAGCCAACCACCCATCTCAGGTAAGCCTCCCCCAAACCGCCCGCCTAACCCTCTCCTGCTCTGCTCTACAGGTACTCGTCCAGCAGCTCCTCATCTTCGCCCTCCTCATCCTCCTCCTCCCGATCCACCCTGTACCCCGCAGGGACGGGGGCGTCCGGGATGTTACCGGACACCACCCCCGCCCCCTCGTCGGCCATGTGCCAGTTGTGCACAACCTTCCAGTTGTGCGCAACGTAAACCAGATCCTTGCACTTTTCTTAACCCAGCTGGTTGCGTCGGGCGGTGTGGACAGTATCCCACACCGCCCAGTTGCGCTCGCAGCTGGATGCAGACACCTGCTGAGTTAGCACTCGGCAAGCAAGGGCCATGAGCAAGGGGTGGTCAGTGCCGTGCCACTCCCACCACGCCTCCATGGAATAACTTCCTTCCTTCACCAACTTCCGGTCACTGATGGCCTCAGCCGTGCCGAAGTTGCCCCTCAACTTCAGAAAGGCGGCCAACCCTTCTTGCAGGCAAGGTTCAAAAATACGGTTTTCGAAAAATACGGTCCGTATTATTCGGCCGTTTTATTCGGGGATTTTTGGAAAAAAACGCCGTTTTTTAAATAGAGCATCTTTTTTTTTTCTTTTTTTTTTGCTAGACAGCCTAATCGTCCGCCAGATCCGCGCCATTCGTCTGCCCAAATGCGAGATCCGCGCATTTCGACGGGCGAAATGTCAGATCTGCGTATTTCGGCTGACAAAACGTCAGATCTATACATTTTGTCCACAGAAAACGCAAGATCTGGCACATTTTGGTGGGAAAAATGCCAGATCCGTGCATTTGGGGGGGCGAAATGCCAGATCCGCGCATTTCGTCGGATTGTTTTGCATTTTTTTTAATATTTCGGCCGTTTTTTTTAACCAACCTATTTTTCCACAATTTTCACCGTTTTTTTCGTATTTAACGGCCGTTTAATTCGATACCGTTTAATACGGTATTTTTTTGAAAAAAACGGCGTTTTTTTTAACCCTGTTTGCTGGAGGAGTGTGGCACGCTTGGGCAGGCCATCCCTCTGGGGAATCATCACCCCGCCATAGTGGCAGGCAATGAAAGCTTTGAACACATTGGTGCACTCCGTGTCCGGCCCAAAAATCCGCTCCTCCTGGTTGACCGGGTTAAGAATCCGCCCGACCACGTGCAGTGGGCAAGCCATACTCTCATCCCAACGCCGCTTCACAATCTCATTGACGCCCTTCTTGTCTCCCGCACTCAGCACCTCATCCCCCTCCTCCTTCAGCAGTTCTGCCACATTCACAGTGAGCTCAAGCATCAGCTCATAGATGCGGCCCATCATCCCTTTCGTTGCCGAATCCGTCGCCCTCATGGCCTTGAACGGGAGCAGGAGCAGCCTCTTGAAGAGCTCAGCCGCTGGCCACCAGTCCTTATCCATGATCTGGTCGTGGAATGTCTCTGCAGCTGCCTTCTTTGGGCCCACCGCCCACTCCGCCTTCCATGCATCGCAGAGCACCATGGTTACCAGCGTTGACCGCAACTCCACCAGGCGGGACACAGCAATGTGCTGCGTCCCAAACCTGGTCCCCGCCGGCCTCAGCATCTGCAGCCCCTTCCCTCCGTCCACACCCCTGAGATACTGTCGGGTCCAATGGTGGCTGCGGGTGTAGTTGATGAGCTCGCTCGCCCGCCCCACTACCTCCTTGGCCCAAGCCTGCCGTCCCACATCCTCCATAAGGAGGTCGAGCACGTGCGTCGCACACGGCACATGCTCGATGCGCGGATTCTCTGCAATGAGGAGCCGGCAGGCGCTGTGGTAGTTGCTGCCGCCATCGGTGCAGAATGCCACGATGTTCTCGACCCCAACCTTTTGCAGGATGGGCCAGAGGAGCCGGGCGATGTATCCCCCGGTCTTTTTCTCCATCTTGCAGTCAATACTCTCGACGAACACTGCGCCGGTGTCATTGACCAGCATCACATTCGCCTGCGGCCTGCCACACTTGTCGGTCATCATGTCGCTGGCAATCGTCACGCCGTGGCGCTTCCAGCTCGACATGACGCCCGTCAATCCCTCATCAATCCGCTTGCGGCACAGCTGCAAGCCGGCACCACCCACGTAGTCGCGCTTTGGAGGCACATAGCTGGTCCCCGCGCGCGCGATGGACCGGACGGCGTTGCGCCAAAGCGGGTGGTCGGCATGGCGCTCGGGAAGGCGGAGGCCGGCAAAGAGGAGGCAAATAGCCTCGTCCGCCGCCGCCTTGGCCGCTTGGGCGTCATCGGACAGGTAATCGGTGATCTTCCGCTTTCCCCGACCACTAACGGCGTCGAGGGCGGACTCCTCCGCCCTATGCGCCTCCTCCCTCGCGAGCACTTTGGCGGTTTGGAATGCGCGGACGGCAGCCTGCTCCTCCTTCCCTACCTCCTCGCATTTCCGAACCTCGCGCCTACGCATACCATCCCAACTAGTGATGTGCTGTGCGCAGCGGTAGGCCGTCCCGGTAAAGGATACGGGGCAGTACTTGCACCAATACTTTTGCTGCTTGCCGTGCTCCTTATGCTTAAACTTGAAATGCTTAAAGATAGCGTGGGTGGAGTTCTCCAGGAGCTCGTCAGAGGAAGACGCAGCACAGGAGGTTCCCGCGTCGGTTCCGTGGGAACCAGGACTAGGTGGAGGGTTCGACATAGCAACAGTCGCTAAAAAACCAGCTAGCTAGTCGCGCTAGCTTGGAAGAAGAAATGACTGAAGTTAGCGCGCCAGTTTACTTGTACCCTGATTTCGTCGTAGGAGTGAACTGCGCTGAACCCTGCTGGAGTAGAGTAGAGAGGGAGAGGAAGGAGATTTCTTTGGGTGTTGTTTGGAAGTCACAGATTGGGTGGGATGCTGTGTGGTTGGGAGGGGCGAAGGGGTTGGGTTGACGATTTGAAAGCCAAATTTCGGTTTGCGACATGGCGAAATCCCTGTGGGGTTTCGTCATGTCGCAAATTTGTCGCATCGTTTTTTGCGTATTTCTTGCCGGGCTGCCCGCCAAGAAATATGCTAGCGTATTGCGTACTTAGCTAGCGTACAGCGTATTCGTATTATACGCTAGCGTATATACGCAATACGCTAGGCTGCCCAAGCGTATTTCTCCACTTAGGCAACCACAAAGTGTGGTGCTCTCCGATTGGCCACAATGTTGGCCAATGGGAGAGGTTGCTTGGAAGGTAAGCAACCACAAAGTGTGGTGCTTGGTGATTGGTTGGGTTTTGGACCAGGGACCATTTGGTTGGAATAGTGCCAACCAAATGTCTAGGACCAAATCCAAAATTGACCAACCCAAATGTGGGGTTGGTCAACCCAACCAACAACCCCCCAATAAGTATAATGACTACACCTCCTAATCTAGGCATGCGTGTTGTATAGATATATAT